TAGGATAGATAAACTTTCACATTTCTCTCTTTATGGAATCGTCCTAGAATCGAAACCCCCCTAAGCTCGAAATCTTCATTTCATTCGTAAGATGTTTGACGTTGATGTCTTAATTGAAATGTAATATATTAACTTTATTTATTTTATCCAATCGACTAGTCGACCAGAATAATGATACAAGCATACACAAAAGTAATAAGTGAAAATACATAATCAGTAAAAACTACGTAAAATAAATAAAAACTTAGTAAAAATAAGATTGCATTGTGCTGATCTAAATATTTTGGTGCATAAAAAATTTTTACATAAAATATAATTATGTTTTCCTCAATTTATCAGATGTTCAGTTTTTTTATTTTGTTCTTCTTAATCTGATTAAAAGATTGTTTAAAGTAATAACTGCAATATTACTTATAAAGTGGTTTTATATTTTTATTTTTCAATTATACTACTGTAATTTTACGTGTTTACAATTTTATCATAGATATATTTGAATAGTACCATAATTTACATTCTACTGTTAATTATTGCACGCGTATATGAGAAAAAAAATTTTTACTGCGTAAAAAAGATTTATATAAATAACTGTTATCAATTTGGAGTCGATAAAAATTATGAAACACAAACATTAATCTCGAAACTTTACTTTATCCGTCGATCTCGGTACACGATTTCACTCAAATCGAACACGTGACTCCGTTCTAGTAGACGTAGGCGTATGTAAAGTAACGGATACATGAGCCAAGGAGGAAATGCTGTTCAGATGGCAACAGCGCTAACCTTGCATTGAACCAATTTGTATTTCTGCTTATTTTCCGTTACTAATTAACATAATCCCAGTAAATGCAACTGATGATTTTATATAACTGAGAATATGTATATATATATATACATGAGAATATGATTTATATCTTAACGTAGACGATTAATATTTATCTCTCTGATCTCCATGCATGTACATAGATATACTTTAACTTTAATAGAATTATATTTAATAACTCATATTATGTTGTTTTTAATTCTTTATCTAAACAAATACCACATTTTAATTATATAATTATAACTCAAATAACCACTTTTTATTTGCCATCACTTTTAATTTTATTCCGAAGCAATATTTTTTTACTTATAAATAAAAATCAAATATAATATAAAAACTAATTCTTTCTATCGCAAGTATATTATACCAAAAACACTACTGACTATTAAATGTTATATAATACCACATAAACCTAAATGTGAAGAATATTTATTCTAACTTTATAGTTCCTTATATAGATGAATAACGATTATATTTTTTGCACATTGATATTTTTTTAATTCGCAAAACAGTAGTGACGGTTCTTAGATTGTTTAACCACAAAATGGTTTGTGTTATACTGCTGACTTAATATTCAGCGTGTTGAACGGTGTGTTACAAAACAGCGTTACGATATCCTTTGCTAGGCCGATAACATAATCTTTACACAACTCAGCTCAGAAAACTCTCATAGCAAGTAGGTAGAAGTAGATATGTTAGCAACCGTCGTAAAATTTTCTGTATGAATATTAATGTTCGTTAAAGTACGTTAATTCAATCCGCAAATATTTTTCACTTTAGTTAAATGATTATTTGCCAACCTTCTCTATCCTATTTCTTATGAAACGAAGATACTGGCGATATATATCCGATAAAAACAATCAGTTTAATTTATCTCATATGGATACAAAAAATATATATATGTACATATAAAACAGAAATTTACAATTTTTTAAGTATAATATTATAAACATCAATGCAACACAAAAAAAATATTAGTTTATTTATCTAAGTTCTAAATAATTCTGTCTTTATCATTCTCTCTCTCTCTCTCTCTCTCTCTCTCTCTCTCTCTCTCTCTCTCTCATAATAATAATAATAATATAGATTTTTTTAAAAAGATTTGATATCAATAAAAAATATGTTTTTTCGTTGTATATATAGAGAGTTATTATAAAAATATTTTCGCCATAGAAAAGTCAAAGAGAATTTACATAGAATAGAAATTAATAAACTTTTAAATAATAAATCAATACGTTCTGCGCGATGGATGGATGTATGTATGTCAGTCATAGTTATACAAAATCGTGGGAACACTAAGAAGATTAACGTGATACATTAAATAATTTGTTATTCCGACAATATCCAATTTGATAAAGTAGTTTGATTAGAGGACTCTAATAGATTCGACATTATTCTTGGCAAAGCAAAACGCAATAATAACGCGTGGAAAACAATCGCGTATGTGCCGTTTCGCTCGCGGCGATTGGCATCGAAGAGATTATCGTCGCCGTTATGTCACATGCGACCTGACAGACCGACTCACGTTTACGAGAAATATTTCATCAATGCTTTTCACTTTTTATTATTCCGTCGACAACTGCGGCTACGACGAACGGAGCGTGCATTTGAAATTGTTTCGGAGCAGGAAGCATAGCAGTTCTAACTTTGTGCACGATTATCTCGTATTTGCGATCTACAAGTTGCAGTGATCAAGTATTTAATGGCAATTCAATGTGTAATTCATTGTATGTAGTCGCTCGTGCATTAAACAAGGCATTCGACTGCTTTAGAAAAATTATAGATTTTATTGAAGATATAATCAATCCTCTCTTTACGACGACAGAGTTTAACGAATAGTTTTACAAAATTAACGTTTCATATACGTTTCTTTTTCCTCAACATTCCATTTGAATAGGATAATAATAGATATTTTACATCTCCTCTTTTATACAGCATTCTTACATAATCTACTACTGTTTAGATCTAATCTCTGCTATGTATATACATAATCGTTAATGGTATTTTAATTTATTTGTGTATCATATTTTAGTCTACAAACTTTTTTATATAATTATCATATATATATATTTCTATATTATATAATTTAACAACATGTATAATTTTTTCTTCATGTTTCAGTATAAGTTTACAATTAATACATAAATTTTAGAAAATTTTTCATTCCCAGAAATTAAATATGATTTTAAATTAATGAAATAGAGTGTTATATTTTAATTAAATAAAATAATAAATAATATATATATATATTGTTTAGCTTACAGCGTAAATTCTAAAATTTATTATTAATTTAATATAGTATATTATTATTAATATAGTTAACGATGCTTTTAAAAATAAAAAACGGAATTAAAGAAAAGATCTACAAAGAAGAGTTAGAAAGTTAAAATCGTTAAATTCAACAATTGTAATCCGATCTATGATTTCCAATAATGAGTTTTACTACTAAATTTAATTCAACGAGAAATGCATTATTTGTGTTTGTGAGATGGGTTTTCAGGGCATTTCACTTTTCTTGCATACTACACTGCATGCCGACATGATCTAGAAATCATGCATAATATGTGCAAATAGACAGCCGAGCGGACTATCTACTTTAGTATAACGGGTAGGACTTCATTGCCTCCGATGATTGTCCGCTAATCAAGTCTCATGTAATCACATGACATGTATGACCGGCAATCGTTAGCTGAGCTTTTGCCTTCAATACTCCACACACGCACTGTTGATCGCGCAATTTTACATGAACGTGGACAAAAAAAGTACTGTTTACAACATTTTATTTATTCTCGTCTTGATTCAATTATCTTGACATATGGATCTTGAAGATCTTCGCAAAAAATTACTTTTAAACAAAAATTAAATATCACATGAGTATTTAAATCTTAAGAGATCTGTAAATTATTTTATTTTTGAAGCCTTTTTATGTGATAGTATTTTTAAAACTATTCTATAAATTATTTTCTTATTTACAAAAGGTACCTGAATCTATTGTATAGCATAATAAATTTTATAATATGTATGCTATATAATTTTTTATTCAATGTGTGTAAAATATCGCTTACATTCTAAAGATCAATTAATAATATAAGTTAATAACATAAATTTAATTACACGTGCTATCATAATTAATAAAACATTAAAATCCTTTCTGGTAATACTATTTTTATAAAATATTAATATATATATATATATATAAATTCAGTTATAGATTTTATTTCTTATTGGTTAAATATTTTTAGAAATTATTGTTTTATGTGTAAAATATTAAAATTGAATTAATCGTAACTTTAGTTTAATTACATTTTTAAACTGTGTCTGAAATGACAAATTAATCAATAAAATAAAATAATTTATTAAAAATTTGTGCCTTCATTAGCTGTCCAATGCAACATTGTAGCGACATCTGAGGCACCGAATAAAAGCAATGTCTGTTTCGTGTAGAGACGTTGCCATTAAGTTTCCAACAGCAGGTCTTTATTAAGAATTCCATTTTATCTAAGAAGGATAATACCTAAATAAATCACATTTAGATTTATATTAACTATTTACAATATTTTTTAATAGAATCAGTTAAAATTATATGTAGTAAAATAAATTATACAATAAATTTATGAATTGTGTGTGTAATATTACAATTAAAAAATTTTGTAAATAAATTTTTGATTTAACAATTTCTTTAGCAAAATATCTTTTATAAATTTTTTTCTTAAAATATTTTTCTTAATAGTTAATTTTCTTTTTTTTTATTACTTTATAGTACTCTTCTTTTCCTTTTAACATTAGTATCATTTTACTAGATTCAAATTTTATATATTCAAACACTACATTGTCAAATATTTTTAAAAACAGAAATGAATTTCTAAAGATGATTGTTTTAAATTAGATCTATCGTATCTAAAATCTGTATAGTAATAATAAATGTGTGCAAATTCATGAATACGTCATTTTACCGCTGATTTCTTATTAAACAAAAATTAATCGATATTAGATATACATATTGCAAAATGATTGTTTGCTTAATCGAAATGTTTATTACATCGACAATTCTTAGTCATTTTTTAAAGCGATTCAAGTTATTGGGTTCGACTCATCGCGCTACAGATAGAGATATCGATCGTGCGAGACGTTCTAAACAAACATGTACTATCTTGTCGGAAAACATCATATGCCACGTCGGTTAAATGCAAGGCCATTTTTTCGATACGAATCATTCAGTTCCACACAAGCTGCTCCGACGAACGTGTTAACTGAAAGCATGGCGCTCCTCGCGAGAATTGTCAAGTGTGAGGTACGAATATATACGTCGCCGTCACGCTCGGTATGCTGACTGTCATTTCGCACGCTCTTCGAAAATTCATCACATTACAGCTGCAGGTTGCATTTGAACATATTAGTGCAGGAAATCTGACCATCTAGTGGATATTCGACGAACTGCGAGAGCTTCGTTAGCGCGAAAATCAATTGTTTACAAATTGTTTTGTGCATATCACGCTTCGATGATTTTATTTTAGTGGGGTTGTAAATCTAAATGATTACTGCTGTATTTGCAATAATGAATATCGAGTGCTTCCGATAGATCGATACGAATATTGAAGGAAGTTTGTGAAATGACATTTGTCTTTATTTATTATTTCCTGCTTTACCCAGTTGTGTTAAAATAGTTATTATAATTTTTTAAATCATATAAGTAACATTTTTATACTTTGTGTAAAGTTTTTAATAATTATTAATTAATAAAATTTGAAGATAGATATATATAAAGCAGATTGTTAGCTTATTTTCTATTTATATCGAAAAAATACTTTGACCTCTATATTATGCTTGCAGTCATAGAATAAGAAAGGAATAATACATGTGCCAGATGCTAATTTATTATAATAATATGTTGAAGTAATGTTACAACGTGTTTGTATTTCGCAATTGTGTGTTGGTCATACTATAATTTTTACAAATCGATTCTTTGAATAAAAATTATTACAGATACATTAAATATGTTTGTAAAACAATAAATATTTTGTAATTAGTTTTTAATTAATTTCTAAGTCTGGTTTTATTAACTATTCCGATATTATTAAATATTCTATAAAAAAATCTTCGTGTGTGATGCAACTAAACTTTATAGCTTCTATAATGGTTATCTAACCGAAAGAATACGCTTATCAAAATCTTATGAACATGCATAATAGTTGAAGCATTTGTAAATCAATAACCCAGAAAAACATGTTTAAACGCGAAATATTGTTATATGTAATACAAAATATATTTGTGTAATTGTTAAAAGTATCACTTTGGAGTCAATGCTTTAAATAAAAAGAATAATTTACAAAAACGTTAATTTATTTTAGATATTAATATTATAATTATAGTTCTGTTTTCGGAAGATCATATCATATGATAATACCACATTGTATATCTCTCGTATCATATCATATATCTTCGGGTTAATTCCAAATATACATATTATATATTATATTTGATTTATAATATTTAAACAAAGTAAATTAGGCTTTTTATAATTACTTTGTTTAAAATAAAATATATCGTTATACTCTCTTCAAGAATGCAAATTCTTTTTACATTATCTTGATTGTGCGAGATGTATCAACGTGATAATAAAATGTATGAAGTGACGATCGTCTAACCAATTAAGCCTTAGACGACAATGACGTTAGTAAGAGGAGAATAACATCCATCATGATTTTTATATGCTTTTAAACTTTGTGTGGTATAAATGAAACAATTGCCAGTGAAAGTGAATCTCGTCATATATGTATTTATTGACTCGAAAACAATGATATATATAAATTTGCTTGCTACTTAAAAGTATTCAGATATCTTAAATGGCACAATTTAACTGACTTATCAATACATATTAATCATATGATCACACAATTTGTAAATAAAATTGCAAAAAATAACGCTTTACAAACAAAATATTTACATTTGAAATAATGTTATCTGCTATCATTACCTATGAAATAACTTCTATCTGAATTAATTTTTAATAATAGTGTCATCATACACATATTAATATATACGGAAAAATTATTTAAACAAAAATACGATAAATTTTTTGTATCAATTGATATAAAACTATTTCAGACACGGTTTGCCAGATCTTATTGCAACGCTGTTCCAGCGGTTAAAATATACATTGATGGACAAATAGTAGGTAATTATTATTATAAACATTTAAATTTTTGCACTTTTATCAATTGATTACTTTTTGTATTTTTCTTGCTTATATTAAAAAAACCGAATATGTTCTTTCGCGTGAAAATTTTATTTTCAAATGCTGTTAAATATTATCAGTTTCTTAACCTTTTCTAAAAATAATGCAAAAAATTATAAAATTAATCTTCCTTCAGGAATGTTAATTGATTAAATTTTTTTAATTTAAACTTATTAAATCGGTTCTAATTTGATGATATATCAACATTTGGGACAAAATCCAGTTTAAAAAATATTTATAAATGCATCACAAATAGACAAATATATGAAAGAATATTCATTCATCTGTGGAACGATATAGAATTAATCGAAGATGATAATTACACGTATCTTCAAGCAAAATGCACTTTGTGTTATTGTAGTAATACTCATTCGTGCGATACCATAAGTCTTATCTATAAAAAAATATTAGAAGTATAAACGTCAATAATTTATAATACTTATTTAATTAGATATCAATTAAATAAATAATTCTTGTTAAGTTAATAATTATATATGTAGATTGGTAAAAAATATAATTATTGTAATATATTTGTTGTGTAAAAGTTTTATTATATAACAATTAATTATGTATTTTAAATTATTTCAATATAAATTACATATTCAATTGTTTGACTGATGTAATTTACATAAATCATTTCCATTTCGTTAATTACAATTCATTTCCAGAATCAAAGGCCACAGAGTTCACAAATGTCCACGATCCAGCAACAAATCAATTGCTGTATCGCACTCCAAAATGCACGAGAGACGAGATGGAGAGTGCGGTACAGAGTGCACAGAAGGCATACGAGAAGTGGCGGCATACGAGTGTGCTAACGAGACAAAATTTGATGCTCAAGTACCAAGCTCTTATTCGCGAACACTCGGTCAGTTTATCAAAATATTCTAAGTTCTAAGCTAAAACTCTAAATTGTTTCACCAATTAATTAATAGCATTTTAGAAAAGTATTATAAAAGAAAAGTAAATGAGAGGTGAGAACATATATTCAAATAAAAAATAATATCTGATGAGCATGGCGACGTTGAAAAGTTCGGTAACACAGTGACAGTTTATTATAAATGGCAATTATAAGTGGACAGACGTCAGCCTGAATCTTTGCGAATCTAAGTAATCACGTTTCCGACATTGCAAATATTTTACTACAGCTTCATTATATCTTCATGTTATTCATTTTTATGTCTTATTCTTTTGTGATATTCCATCTGTCTACAGAAAGATATTGCGGTGAATCTCGTGAGAGAAAATGGAAAGACTTTAGCTGACGCGGAAGGAGATGTACTTCGAGGTCTTCGTAAGTATACCGCGTTAAGTTGTTATTATTTAGATCGGGCAATGCTCTAATTTATATTATTATTAAATATTATTTAGACCTATATTATTATTTAAATCAGGCAATGCTCTAGTTTACTATTTAACTCGCTTTTTAATAATTTAATCAAAATTGCTAAATAAAAATAGAAAGGAAGCATTAAATAAATATAAAAAGTTATTCTGATATACACGAATACTATTTTAATTTTAATTTAAAAGAAATTAGAATTATGTAAAATGTAATTGTAATATTTAAAATTATAATCACAATTACTAATTAATAGTACTGCATGAATATATTGATTGATGTTTAACTATGCGGCGGCGGTAGAGGTTGTCGATGCATGCACATCGATTCCGATGCTCCAAATGGGCGAATCTACGACCAACATCGCCACGGACATGGACATTATCTCGTACAAAGTACCTCTCGGTGTTACTGCATCCATTTGTCCCTTCAACTTTCCCGCCATGATACCGCTTTGGTCATTTCCGATATCGGTCGCATGCGGGAATGCCGCTATCCTGAAACCGTCGGAGCGGGTACCAGGTGCATCCATGATCCTCGCTGATCTCTTTACGAAAGCCGGTGCACCAGCTGGCCTTTTAAATGTAATACATGGTCAACATGCAGCTGTGGATTTCATTTGCGAGCATCCCGATATCAAGGCCGTCTCGTTCGTCGGGTCTGATCAGGCGGTAAGATAAAAAATAAAATCAGGAATTGAAATCGTGCACAGAAAGAATGATTTTGATAATCTATTCAACAATTTAGCTAGATACAAATCTGTGAAAATCATTTTATTAAATTATCAAAATAACTACGTAGGAAATTTAAATATAATTAGCAATGCTACAAAAAGTTTTGATAGTCTAATAACTAGTTTAAGTGTCCTTCATAATTATTTTGGTGACCTAACAATTCGTATCTGATATAAATTTTTAAGTACTGAAAAAATCGTTCTTTCCATGCGGTCTACGCTAGCACAAATCGAGTGCTTTTTTTGCTTTTGTTAAGAATTTAATAAAATTTCAATTGTAATTATTTTTATTAAATGTTATTCAGTCTTGTTAAAATGTACCTTTTGTGTAAAATTTGTGATAAAAATATTCCTAGCTAAAAGTAATCAGATGATATGAATAATAATAAAATCAATGAATTTTTTAATTTTTAGGGCAAATACATTTACAAGCAGAGTACCGCGCACGGCAAAAGAGTACAGTGCAATATGGGCGCTAAAAATCATTGCGTCGTCCTGCCAGACGCGAATAAAAACAAAACATTGTCGCAAATCACCGGGGCGGCTTTCGGCGCCGCCGGGCAGCGATGCATGGCGCTTTCGGTGGCCATCTTCGTAGGCAAATCTAAGGAATGGATACCCGAACTAGTAGAGGCAGCGAAGAAATTGAAGGTAAATGCCGGTCATGTGCCTGGCACAGATCTAGGACCTGTTATATCACCACAGGCAAAGCAAAGGATCATCGAGCTGGTCGAATCCGGTGTTAGAGACGGTGCAAAATTGCCTCTCGATGGAAGAGGTATCGTTGTATCCGGTTTCGAAAACGGGAACTTTGTTGGGCCCACAGTGTTAACCGACGTTAAGGTAAAATAATTGCACTTATAAATAGTTCAAGAACGAATAAAGTTTAAGCTTTAAATTGTTGTGATCTAAAAAATAAACTTTCTGTGTTCTCTTTTAAATAAAAAATTAATTTAATTTAATTATGCTTCATAACTGTACAAAAACTATACTTATCTATTAACATACATTTTTTAATCTAAAAAATTTATGACATTTAAAGTCATTACACATAAGAGAAATTATATATTCAATCGAAGGAGACTTAGTGCTTAAATATATATATTTTACATTCGGAAATTTATATATACATTCTGATTTTCTATCTCTCTGCATACCGCGCGCCAAAATCTACCTTTTTCTATCGTAAAACGCATTTATCTAGTAACATTATTTATTAAATTGCTTGTACAATTTAATAAGTGAGATTACTATTCTGATTCTTCCCGTAAATGCATTTTAAGACCAAAAAAGATTTCGGCGCATTTATAAGAAGAATCAAAATAGCAATATCAAAGCTTATATCAAACTGCTTGTACAATTTATTAATTGATATTATTATTCTGAATCTTCTCGTGAATGCGTTCTAAGAGTGAGAAAGATTTCGGCGCGCGGTATGTAGAATCAGAATATATATAAATTCACACAAAAAATACGTATATATTTAAACACTCCTTCAATCGAGTGTAAGATTTTTCTGTCATTTAATTAGATTTATTTTTATTAGTCTAAAAATTCGTGTTATTTATTTATTATTTGAAGTCGTGCTCTGTGTATTAATTAACATTATACTTTAACTTAACTTATATCTTGTTATTAATATCTTGTTATTTCATCTAATTTATATCATAGACCATTTGATATTTACACACCTTTATAGCCTACAATGAAGTGTTACACGGAAGAAATATTCGGACCCGTTCTATCGTGCATGTTCACTGACACTACCGATGAGGCCATCGACATCATCAATAAAAATCCTTACGGCAATGGCACGGCAGTTTTCACGACAAATGGGGCGACAGCCAGAGCATTCGTGAACAGAATCGAAGCCGGCCAAGTTGGCGTTAACGTCCCCATACCCGTTCCATTGCCGATGTTCAGTTTCACTGGCAATAAAGGTTCCTTCCTCGGGGATATGAATTTTTATGGAAAATACGTGAGTACATGTAACTTCGTGCCTTTATTTTGATGAATCAATCCATTTATCAAAGTATATCATACTTAATTGTAACTCTTTACAATAATTTTTTTAAATAATTATTGTAAATTATAATTTTTTTAAATAATTTTTAAATAAGTTATCTGAGCTAATTAAAACGAATAAAAAGTAATAAAAAATAACTAAAACAGTATAAATAAAAATATATCTTATTCTCGCAAAATTGAAATTTGTTTAATAAATAATTTTTTATACATTTACATTATATTATGATACGACTGTAACTAATAAATAAGTAGTATTTTTATAAAATAATTAAGATATATTAATATATAATAATATAGTAACGCACGTTTTTTATTGACTTAATTTTAGGGGGTAAATTTCCATACACAAACGAAAACAATAACACAGCTATGGAGATCCGATGATGCCACCGATATCGCATCGTCGACAGCAATGCCTACTATGCAATGAGGCTGTGATTTTACCAAAACTTCACTCAACTTCAACTATATTTTCCAAAATTTCATGAGTAAGGATGTATAAAACTTAATTCTGCGGTTTATCACGCAGTTGTAAACAATGTCTTCCATTGTTGTGTACAAATTTGTTCCTATAAATGATGATATTTTTATAGTTTAGAAACTACATATATTTTTTTATACCATAATAAAGTGTAGTTTACATAGCAATCTTTTATTTATGCCTTACAAATAAAAATTTGATTGCAGTAACTGTAAGACGTTATATATAGTATAAAATTTAATAAAAAATTCCTGCAGCTATATCTGCGTAATATACTTAATTATATTATATTCTTATTAATATTTTAAAAACCGTATTTAAAAAGAAATAAAATTATTTTCTTACAAAAATAATTATAAAATACTCTAACGCGTAGTTATTACAAAATGCATTTGCCAATGAACATTTAATAAGTAATATAAATCATGCAGTAAGCCTTGCTTACTGATAATAAACTATGCTGAATTCGTATAATAAGAAATAGCAAATTTTTCGCAATTTTTCTCCTATCGATTAACTCTTCTCTTAGTAACCGCGCATAGGCAACGCCCAGCGAAAATATGTCAAAAATTCGATAATGTAAACATCGAAAGAAATTTACGGTCAACATTGTCTAATTCGTCCTTGAACCTCTAGTCACACGACGCGTGCAAAAATCCGTCTCTCGGCGATATTCGAACCAACTTCCGGTAATCAGGATCGGTGTACGCGCCGACGCGACGCACGCATGCACCCCGTCGTCGTCGTCGTCGGGCCGCAACTGCGCATTTTCCAGCTGAGTTTCCCCTCACAGGCGAGGTTCTGCCTGTCCCGGATTGTCGTGTATGCGCCGACACTCCAGACCGGTTGGGAAATCAAGAGAAAGCTCTCGAATACCGCTCATACATCGTGAGTACATCGACACATCTGTGGTCGCGATCCTGGCGTAGCTTCCTTCCTTCCCCGTTTTCGCTTTTCTCGCGAGGATCAGCTTTAATCGACAGAGAAACAGACGTGACATCGAAAATAATTTATCTGTCTCTCTTCCGCGAAAGGCTATTGATGTTTTATCAAAATTATCTACACAGTTAAATGTTTGGTGTGCAGTGATGTTAAGAATTGTTAATCACTTGAAAATATTGAGCGTTGACCGCTGATCTCTTTCGCTCGATAGCACTTGATAATCTTTCGGTAATTTTTTAAATAAGCCATCGTCGGCGTCGGCACCGGTTAAACTAAATGTAATTGACCGTTTTAGATCTAATTTCCGACGTGTCGTGTTTATTCACCAGAAATATATACTTCATCGTGACATTAATAGCATTCGTATCGTGACTACAAATATGCTTATCTCCACGATTGTTATATGATAAAATAGAATTTAAATATGTTTTACAAGATTAAATAATATTACAAGATATTAGCAATAATATTAAGTTATTTATGTTTATCTTCGTACAAATTATTATTTTATTATTATTTATATTATTATCTTAATATTTTTTTAAATTGAACGATAGACAATTTTTTGTAAAAGAATTATTCTATAAATATTTATAAGAGAGAAATGCCTAATCAATGATGCTCATATATATATATATATATTTTTATTGCAGATTTATTTTTAATCGTGCAATCGTTAAATCAGTGATATTATCGCAATATTTCAGTTTTAACCTCTCGCATGTTCGAACTTGTTGATATGCTTTGAACAATGCAGCTTTTAAATGTCAAATGCTTGTGTGTGAACTAATTCGAGTGCTTTTTCCACTATGCTTTGTACTTTAATTAAATATTGTTTATAATTGAAGTTCATAAACGATTTACCGACTTTATATATATATTACAAATTCAAAACTCGCAAAACTTTTAATAGCACATATCGTGGCAATAAAATGGCAATATTAATTCTTTTATAATAAAATTTTTGAAATCGTTTGTAGAGAGAGAGGAACAGAAAAATATTTTTGTTTTTAATACCACATTTAATCTATTCCATTCATGCTAACTAAATTAAAATAAAAAGACTATCAGTTGAAAAATCTATATTTAAAGATATTTGTGATAAAACTACATCAAATTCTTATAAGGCAATTAAAAAAAAAGAAAGTTGTTTGCAAGGTTTTGTATAATTTTTTTGTCAAGCTCTCTGTCTCTTCATTTTATTCTTACACTTTTAATATAGCAGTTTGTTGTGCAAGAAAATGTCTATGTAGAAAAATATCGTTTTGATATATATACAGCCGGTGTTAATTAAAGTTTTTAATATATTCATTAACTCTTCACTGCTTTAAAAAAGTTGTAAACTCAATACTGATTAAACATTACTATTTGCAAACAGTTTTCTTCTAAAGAACATTATTTAATCACTGGTGACTTTGACAGCTTATACACCGCGCAAACACGCCTCTTCATCGCCTATCCTTCGTTTTAACGCACGAGATTTTTTCTGACAGTTTGAATAATAATACGAAATGAAAAAAGGAGTAACATCAGAATAAGGATTAAATAGATCGTTGTTAGAGCAATTTGACGAGTAAAAAATCTGATTTCGACTGTTGAACTTACCATCATGTATATACATATATGAAACATTACGAATTTTTAATAAAAAGCATTTCATTTTAATACATACAAAATTTTCGTCGAAACACAAAAATGAAAGTTTGTTTCTATTGCTTCTGTTATTTATGTATCTTTTTCTTTCGTCATTTATTCTTTATGTTTATAAAAATATCTTTTTATATAAATATTGTATTTGAAAAATTAATATTTTACGTCGTAACGTTGTTTGAACGTTTCATCGTACTTGATTTACACAACTATGAAACTTGCATTTAATCTATAAAAAACTTATGTAACATTCAGTCACAATTTAATTTATAAAAAATCAACAAATTAATACTATTGTGTTGTTCCTCAAAGAATAGAAACTTCAAATTAATAACAACAGAGTTTTAATTCCAAATGCGATTCTTTCAAGTGAAGGTTAGACAAAGGGCGCTTACAATTTCTTTCTATAAAAATGTTTTATAATATAACTAGTTTGGTCTAGAGCTGTTCTTTCACTGATGAAATTTTCTTGGTTGCAACTTGGTTTCGTGACAATTCTACGAGAAACGAATTATTTCGCGTCACGTGTCTTTCTACCTCTATTCCGTGAAAGTTTCTACTTCTAATATTTCTTTTGCATTATATTTTGTATTTAATTATTTATTAGATAAATATCAAAATTATTGATTGTAAAATAGATTCTTAAGTCCAAATATGAGTTGTTAGTCCCATCAAAAATGTATATGAATACATTATATATATATATATATATATAATTATATATAATTTTATATAATTATATGTAATTATATATAAAATATTTTTTCTGGATAACATCTGCATAGACTGTCATAAAAAAATGGATATGGTCATGATAAATTTTATTATGATGTGTGTATCTCTAAATGTTATTTTACATTGAGAAATACGCTCTACAAAAATGAACCGATAAATTGCGATGCACGATTATATGTAAATTTATTGTATAATACAGAACGATGAATAAATAAATAAAAGTACTGCTAGTTACTCTATGCAAAATTGATTTTGTATAAATATTATTTCATGTTACAATTTTATAAATTGTTATCTCCAAAAGTCCAATAAATTTCCCGGAAAAACCGTATATATTAAATACGGTTTAATTTTTGTAATGTTTTGCAGTTTAAAATTTCCTGTTTGTAAAATATACATTTAATTTAATTTTTGCTGTCAGAATAAGGTTTAATTTCAATGCTATAAATTGGCTACTAATTTCTCCCCCTATTATTCCTGAATAAAACTGAATATTCCGATTACAATGTATTTCAAACTAATCCCAAGCTGAATGCTCGCGAAAATAAATACGAGGGACCGTTCAGTTGACAGAATCATATATTTCCGGCCGGCTGAGGAATCGCCGCCGTGTATTTCTAACAAGATTTCTATCCTGACAGGTTGAATAATTATGTACAAAACGGTGCGGAAAGGCGATGCCAGTCTGCAGTACACGATACTGCCGCAGATGGATCAGTTCACATCTGGCGGATTCCCGCAGACTTCCAATAAGCCTCGGCTGCGGATTATCAAGTACACAATGGCCACTATAATGGTACTGATCATATTATCCTGCGTGGCCACGCCGTTCCTGATAAATCAGAATGATCACAACCTTTTCGCCAGCACAATACACGCGATTAGCCGGGTAGAGCCGGTCAGGAACACGTCAAGAAATCAAACGAAGAACATCGGTGAAAGTAAAAGCAGAGGCAAGATTTCCACGGTATTGACAACTGAGGTCACAAGGAGAAAAGACCTTGAAAACGGCACGACCTCCTTCAATGTAATTCTCCGGGGTGAAGAAGAAGAGGAAGAGGCTATGGCTAATGATGCCACTTTAGCAGGTATTGTTTAAAAATTCTCGAGGAAGGCGATGCAGACATCGCGATAATGATATCGCAACATGCTACAGAAATATTGAAATCTTTGATATTTCGACTTTAAATAATAGAAACAACGTTTATAAAAGATTATGATCTATTTTTATAAAAATAAAGGAAGATGTTAAAAAGGAGCTGATTTCTGTCCAATAAAAATGTAAATAAGAGGAATAATATTTTTATAGACTTTGATCTCCTAAATATTAATAAAAAGTTTTTTTAAAGTAAAAGGGGAAAATAAGGAACACCTCGAAAAATTGAGCACCAACATAGGATCCGAATTTCAATGTTTTACTAAATTTTTCGAAGTGTTTCCTAAACACTCTCTACGAATTGTTTAACAACCTTATAAATTATCGTATCCAGGACGAAAATCGATTTTTTTTAACATTCTCCATTTTTTGCTATTTTAAAGTAAAATATTGTATCATATTTAAAGCAATATTGTATTACTAATAATATGATTAAAAATACTATAAATAATATAAATATAAAATACATATTTTGAAATATTATATTTGAAGTAATATTATATTATAAAGTAATATCTTTCTTTGTTTGTTTACGAATTCTTTCTCTTCTTTGTTTCCTTAAATTAAAATAAGCTTTATGAGATCGAGCATAAAATTTAATTTCCTCTTGTAGAATATCTCGGAATACTGAGATAAAACGTGCAAATGACGGGCGTAAAATAAGATTTCAACTTTACATAAATATTGGAGCCGTAATATAATTCATCGAGATGCTTTGTTATCAGTCTTCCAACTAAGCCGACGTCATTGTCGACTACGTAGGTTCAGAGAGTTCTATCTTTTCAGACACACCGGAAATTAGTACACAAGTGATTTCGAGCATGGAAACGTCGACGAGGGATCATCAAATGGCAACGACTTCCGCTCTATCGTCGGCGTCGACAACGGTCTCTTCGACATCATCGACGACATCGAAAGTGTTTTCGAGCAGTACGACGGAGGGCACAAAGACGTCTAAAAAGTTGAAAATGCCGAGAGTAGTCTTAAAGCTGCGAGAGAACGAAACCATACCACAGATGTACGTAAAGTCGGGCATAGCCTCCTATAAGAAGGACAACATCGCCACCAACGTCCTCGCGAGTGAGCTGAGTCTCGAGGGCTTGGTATTTAAAACGCCGGAAGGCACGATAAAACCCTGGCACCAGATATGGCCCTTCAGCGAGCTTGATCCCGACACCAAGTGGAAATTGTTCGTAAGTGCTCGTATTTTTCGATCGAGCGCTCATACATTCTCGAGGAATTGCGTTCAAGGGGATCTGCAGTATCCTGCATTTTGATAGAGTGCATCGATCACGCGAATTACCTATGCAAAAATTGCTAACTCGTCGTTTCCGCGTCTCGCTTTTTCCTCATCCCGGAAATGCTTTCTAAAGCATCTTTTTGTATAAGTTTCTTTTTGCATGCTTGCTCTACAATTTTTGTATTCTTTTACTGATTGTTTTTTCTTTTATTTGGGTAAAATCCTTTAAATCTTGCTAATTCAACATTTTCCACTATCTTACACATATTTACATATACATATATAATACATATTGTATCATGTATAATTTTTATTTGTTTTTTATTTAGTAAGAGCTCTTTAACAAGGTAGAAAAGAGAAAGAAAGAAATTTTGAATTACTTTTTCAACTACCGTTTCAAAATTGTTTATTTCAATCTTCATTAGGAGTTTTCATAGTTCTAAGGTTATCGAACGGATCGAAAAATTTATTTCATTACTACGTATCGTTATTATTTTAAAAAATCCAATTTTATAGAGTAATTTTATATCTTCGAATTAGAGAGAGCAAGATATATTATTTTTTCATCACATTTTCGTATTTAGCAATCATCCGACCGTTAATTCAAAATTTTATATCCTGCATAAATATTGATCGCGTTGCACCAAAGACATTTAAAACTGAAGCACTCTGTCCGATCGATAGACAGAGCATGCTCGTGAATCTAAAAGCGGACGAGAAATCGCACGGAACCTTTATTTTTCCCGCATGTTTCCCGTCGGGACAGCAATCGTACCTTTGACTTCTTTCTTGGAGAATTGCAGAACGTGACGTTATGTACAACATTTTCTGCAAAATATCTCATGATATCACTGTTATATATTTTATTTATACATACGTATATGGAAATGTAATTTTTCTTATTCTATTGCTTCCATTCTTTTATCTCGCACAACAAAAAATTTTCGCACAAATGAAGTTACGGGAGAGGAAAAAGCTGTTTTCTTGAAACATTGACCTCGGCCAATCAATATAAAAGCCGCGTGTTCTCCCTTGAGCCGATAAATGCTTACTCGTTGCTTGAGAATGCTTGCGCTGCACTTGAAGATTTTGCGCAGACTACACGTACGTCATCAGGAAAAAGCAATCGCACAAAATACGTTAAGCGTTTATAAAAGAGAGGAAAAATTGTAGTTTTCTTTACAATTTATCGTAGCAATTTTACAAAGAAGAGATAAAATTTTTACTTTCGCTAAGAGAACGCATCTCAATAAAAGTTTATTTACTGAAAAGATAACTTCTAAAGATTCACCAATAAGAAAAACAGTGTACACGATATTTTTGTCGAAATATATATTTTCGTTAAATATTTTTTCATTCACTCGACAACTCTTCCGTATTTCGAGTTTTTGCTTTGTTGTTATATATTTAAGCAGACTTATCGAGCTAAGCTGCTCGCCAAGCAAAATCCTTTCGCTTTATCCAATTTTCATAAATTGTGTTCAATACATAGTAAGGGGCTCCATTTTACAACATGTTTCGCGCAGAATATCTTTTACGGGCGGAGTGCTTAATTTACCGTGGAATTGAAAATATCAGCGTCAGGATACACAGGGGGATTAATAGGATGTTGAGTACTTGCTAATTCATATATTTACTAGTATCCGACTTGGTAGTTATATCGGATGCAGCAGTGTCTGCCAGTTTGTATTTTGCATATTAAGCGGTAACTAGGGTAATAGAGAGTAGCAACATTTTCTGATGAATATTCATCTTTCGATGGATAAGGAACAGTGTACATTATATCGCGATGTTATACGGGCAATTGATAAAGATCGCAAAATCATAAGCCAGCTTCTTTATTTTAAAAAATGCAGTAAATAGATGAATATATATTGGATATCAGGGAAAAAAAATCTTTTTACATATTATATATATATATATATATCTGTACTTTCATGATATGAATATACAAGACAGATTTATCAAATCAAGATTTTTCAAATTAAGATCTTAATGTGAAAT